CGATTTCGACTAACGATCATTACGCGGCCTGCTAATTTACTAATTAATTGTACTTAATTGGACTGAATGTGTATTCTTGATTAAAAAGGTAAGATTGTAACGTTTTTACAATAATTAATCAGCTTAACAGTTTAATTAATGAAATATCTAATCTAATAATTGAGATGTAGCGATCACGTTTTGTTGTTATTTTTGGGAACAAGGGATTTTGAAGGGTACATATCACTACAAAGGATTCACTATGAGTAAACTTATTTATGTATTTATTTGTTATGTGAGAAGGTGACAAACGAGCTGGCGGTTTACCAGATGTTAAGTGTTAACGGCCGCCCCTTAACATTTGCAACACCCGTAGGGTTGCAGATGCGGTGCCACATTTGAATAAAGTGGGCTCCGGCTACCTCACTCATCGGACGAAACGCAGGAGTATAACACTTCGATTTCACTCCGGTCTACCGTGAGGTCGTGGTACTTACCCGGACGGAGCTGCCCATTCGTGCAAAGGCGAACTGTTGCGTGGTCCTACCACATTTTAAACTGTCATGTGCTTAAACGACTTCTCGCGAAGGCATTAATTCGTTACCTGGGTTTTTTAAAAGATGTCTACCAAAGGCTAGGCTTCGCAATTTCCCAAATTACGTAGAACCGACTTAGGCGACTACGGCGGCTTATGCTTCGTCCACGCAATACTTCTATATCTGTATAGTTATAGCCTTTTATATCAGAACTGATAGTTTAAATTTGTTCGTGTTTTTTGTCAATTTATTGTATATTTTCTAATAATATATACAATTTAAGTTTAAATTTATAATCCTGCTCTTTGAGCTTTAGATGTATCTTTTTACATTATTTTGGTTACAAAAGTCGTCGGTATTAATCTAAGACATAACACTAATATATTTAGCTTACGTTGACACTATTGATGAAAATACGCGAGTAGAAGAAAATACTATGGTAAGGCCGAGCTATTTTCGCTGTTGCACGAATGAGCAGGTCCGTCCGGGTACCGCGACCTCACAGAAGACCGGAGTGAAGTGGAAATATTATACTTATGCGTTTCTTGTTGTGAGTGAGGTAGCCAGGGCCCTCTTTATTGGAAGGTGGCAACGCATCTGCAACCCTGCGGGTGTTGCAAATGTTAAGGAGCGGCGGTTATCACCTAACATTAGGTAAACCGCAAGCTCGTTTGCCGCTTACTAACATAATAAAAACTTAAAGCTTTCATAAAAAAACAACTTTCGTTTAATGTTCAAACATGTGTTGACAATTAGAAAAAACGTTATCATTTAAAATAAGACACCTCACATTGATAAATACTGATTTACACATAATCGTTGTCGTTGTGTAAGTGATAACGGTACTACGGAAAAATTTCTTACAGGTCAACTAGTATTTATATATGATTACATTTATTAAATTTAACACAATCATTTAATTAAACACAATTTCGTGTTTGAAATCATACCACCTTATGTTTTTCCGCTAATCGCTATTTCTTAGCCAACAGCAACATTAGTCTTTTCTTCAAAGCTGTTCAAGTTCTGTTTAATAGAATTATATGTTCAGCCTACCGTTTTTGAATTATAGACCCATTATACTGGCAAACATTATGTAATGCAAACTTGTAAATTCCTCGAAGTCTTAAATATTTTTTTTTTTTACACAACAAGTATCCATATTTTCAAATTTATTAAATTTGGCTTAAAATGAGACTCTAAATGAGTAAACTCTAAAAAGGTTTTTGTTTTCCGTCAAATTTTATAAAGGATTAAATGTAAGCGCCATCTAAGTGGAATATTTAAAAATAACATAACTTATCGTGTGTACATATTTCATATATTATCATAGTAATATACATACCTGACAGAAGATGGCAGCAGATATTTATTTATAATTTTATGGACTGAAAAATGTTATTATAAACAAATAATAATATAATAAATAATATATGACCCCTGAGCCTGCTATAGACTGAATAATATAGTATTTATTCAGTCTATAGCAGGCTCAGTGGCACAATTAAAGATTACAGTCCAGTCGTGTATCTGAACTAACATTCACAATTGTTTTACTAAACGAATGTTAAACAATCTTGTCAAATAAATAAATTACATAAATTTTATTTTTATCTCTGTCAGTAAGGTAGGTTGCCCTAAATGGATCAACCAACGCCTCATTACTACATTAATTATTGATGAATTTGAAGGATTTAATTACTCCTTCAGACCTATTTGTTAACTTGTCATTAATAGTTTTATTTATCTTCCAACTAACCAGCCCAAATTAGTTTCAATAACACGGTAGGAGGAAGTTGTCATGGTTTTCAGTCCTTGGTGTGGTTAGCTGATTCATCTTGATCTCTCAAAAGTTACAGAGGCTTGTGGAATCGTCAAACAGGTTTTTGTTTGACGCTATATTCTAATGTTGTTGTAAAAAGTACAAAAAACCGGCCAAGTGTGTGTCGGACTCGCGCACGAAGGGTTCTGTACCATTATCCATGAAAACGGCAAAAAAATCTTGTCTGTTATATAAGAGCCTTGCTTAAATACTTTAGTATTCCGTTTTTTAGTATTTGCTGTTATAGCGGCAACAGAAATACATCACCTGTGAAAATTTTAACTGTCTTACTATCACGGTTCATGAGATACAGCCTGGTGCCAGACGGACAAACAGACAATGAAGTCTTAGTAATAGGGTACCGTTTTACCCTTTGGGTACGGAACACTAATAAAACGTATAAGTTAAGTTATAGATAGACGATAGCAGTTCAAAAACGTTTAATCATAGTCTACAATAAATTAGCGAGAACCGTGCCAGACGGCTCGATTGGCGTAGTGGGTAGTGCACCTTCCCCTTGCGCCATGGATGTAAGTTCGATCCCCACTACTGGAAAAATATTGTGTGATTAACATGTTGTTTTTTCAGTGTCTGGGTGTTTATATTTTTATAACATTATGTAGGTATTTATTTACAAAATAATAGTATGTTAAGTATTTTTATCAGTTATCTAGTACCAAGTACAAGCGTTGCATAGTTTGGGACTAGAGGAGGACGAGAGGTGTTAAATGCTAATTATTTCAGGACATATTTACACAACGTTACCTATTTTAAAACTAACGAAGCTTGTACTATGGATAAACTGATAAACATACTCAAATATATTTTTTTGTAAATCAATATATTATATAAGCACCCAGATACCAGAGAAACTGTTAATAACACAACATTTTCCTATTAGTGAGAATCGAACCCACACCCAGGAGACAGACAGGTTCATTATCCGCTACAACATTCGGCTCATCAAAATTTATAAGAAAGCTCATAATTTTAATTTGTTAACTTTAACAATCTAATCATCATATCTTAGAAAAAACACTAAATGAATGCATAAATAATAGACACACCGGGAAAAATAGCTTAACAATTCATTCTTAAACGTGATCCCTCAGGATAAGGCTGAATGTAATTCGGCGAAACGCTGATAAAGAATGCCCGTGGCGCCGACAAAGGCATTTCCTCCGACGGAAATCAACGGCGAAATTCTCGCCGCGGCCGTAAGTTAAACGCAACTAAAGCGATTGAGGAAATCCAGGTGAAAGTTTGCGTGGGTGATATTTAAAAGATTTTTCGGCCCAAACGACTAGCGAATGGCGTTTATATTCACTTATTTATCGAAGCAAAACACGAATGGGCAGCCAGTTATCACGATTTCTGAAACTTGTGGAATACGTTGATGTATAATTCGGGTAGTTTGATTTTTTTATGTAAAAGCATAGATAGTTTTGTCTAATTACGGCGTCCGTATTATGTTTTATTTTACTTTATAACCGATGAACAGTGGTCAAATTTGTATTTTTCTCGGAAAGCCGTTACGAACATCTCACATAACCTGTGGGATTGCAGATTTGTTGCCAACCTTATGCCGTGGTCCTCTTTAACAAAGAGCCCTGCGTACCTCACTCGCCAGACGAAATGTAAACATCGATAACTTTAAATTGTTATAAATCACATAAGATTTTAATCAATAACACAAGAACTTTGGTATTAAATAAAAATACGGCCTATATACCTGCTCCAGTTTTCTCGAAGGACATATTTCTTAAAGCAACATTGTTTCAAGACGCTAAGATATATACGATCATTCATTGACTTCTGAAGGGTACACTAATAATCAATTTATGGAGCAAATTCAACAACCTTTTGGTGGGTTTATTCATTTTACCCATCAAATTCGAGAACCGTTAGGTTCTTTGATAGAGGTCGCGTCGGGATAAAATTAAACACCCCTTTTGACAATGATTTTAGAGTTTTCAGATCTTGAATCTATTTCCTTTTACAAATACATTAACTGATATAATCAAATGGCCAAAACAAAATGTCACCGTCTTAATGTATAGTTTTACTCAGAATAATAAAATACACTTGGTAATATTTCAAAATTTAAAATACCAATGCAACTCACTAAATCTTTTTTGCTTTTCAATTCCTTGACTGTATTAAACTGTTATTTGCCTCCAGAGAATAAAATAGAACAATATGTTGTCTTGATAGAATTTCACTATCTCTAGAAATTTCACTCATCTCTTTTGGCGGACCGATAATATACTCAAATTAACATTTAATAAACAAACAGAGTATGACTTTTCCATATATATATTTTCCTTAATGTATTCCATCCACCTTAAAGTTAAGTACAGTAAAGGTTAAACACTTTCCATGTCACGGCTCCATGGGCGACGGCTATGAACTATGAGGTGAACATATCACTCATTTCGACCGAACTAAACGTCCATTCGATGCAACGTCGCAGCGTAGCTAGGCGTAGCGGTACTGAAAACTTCTACGTTTTACATTTGCCTATCGTAGCAACACCGTAGCTTCATAGCGCTTCGTACCGGGCACACGAGATTGAGACAGCCGTTTCCGCCGGTTGCAGGCGTAGAGATGTCGCGAGGGCGCGGTGCCGATGGCGCGGGCTGATCGCGCTCGGCTAGGCGCCGATGCGCGCCTGGCTCGTGCTGTGCGCGGCGCTCGTGCTCGCGCCGGGCCGGCCGCGCGCCGCCACCGCCACGCTCGCCGGGCCCGCCGCGGACGCGCGCCCCGCCCACCGCCAGCACAACGCCGCGGAACCCGCGCGCCTCGAGCACATCAAGACCCAGATACTCGCAAAGGTGAGTATGCGTACCGTACTCCAAGGCCCAGATACTCGCGAAGGTGATTATGCGTAGCATCAAGGCCAAGATACTCACGAAGGTGCCTATGCGTGCCGTACGTCAAAACCCACATACTCGCGAAGTTGGGTATGCGTACTCCACATCAAGGCCAAGATACTCGCGAAGATCGGTATGCGTATCGTACATCAAGGCCCTGACACTCGCGAAGGAGCGTATGCGTACCGTACATCAAGACCCAGATACTGGTGAAGACGCGAATGCGTACCGTAAACCAAGACCCAGTTACTGGCGAAGGTGGGTGTGTGTACCGTGCGTCAAGACTCAAACACTCCCAATGGCCCACCAATCTCATTGCCCCGTCGACCTCGCGGTTGTTTTTCACTGCCTACAGGGGAGGGCCACGCATCTTTTAAGTTGGATTGGTTGTTTCAGGAATAGGCTGGCTCATCGGGGAAATTACCACCGTTTCATAGATGACAGTGTGAAATGGCGTGGGTAGAGCTATAGGTGTGATATGCGATCATATGCAATATTCTGCTCTTCCTATAATCCTCTGTACCGAGCGGGTTTACTACGAATAGGATATATACGCATGGCCTATTTTTTCTATGTCAAAAGTTGTCAAGCAAGCAGACGGTTCATGTTAAATGCCACCGCCATACTGATATCAACAGCACCCGAGGGATTGCACTCACTCACCATACGAAACGCAGAAGCATAACATTTCCGATACGTGATACAAACGGGTAAAACTTTCACGCGATTAGTTCACAGTCAGCTATTACAGCCCTTGATGCGTGAGGCGAGTATGACTATGATGTGAGCATTTGTTATATTTTTTTTTTAATTCAAAACTGGCCCGCACTTGACTGCCATCCCACCTGGTGGTAAGTGGCGATGCAGCCGTTGATGGTAAGCGCGCTAGCTCAGTAAAAACCTATTCACTCTTGCCATGAAGACGCCTACGTTGTATTATATAGCGTGAGAGGTTTTCTAAGACCAGTGGTCGATTCGCATCCTAACGGTCGTTCGGCCTCGCAGCTGGGGCTCACAACGCGACCGACGCCGCTGGGCGCGCCGCCACGCGACGTGGTGCGTCAGATACTGGCGCGGGCCGCCGACACGCACACAGAGCGCCCACACGAAGAAGAGCAAAGCATGAGGGAGATCATTGCGATCGCTCATAGAGGTGACCTAACATGTCTTTATTTTATATCGAGATAAAATAATATAATATGTAATACGAAATGTACATGCTCCAACCTAAATGAATTATTGTTACACATATATATCACGAAACAACAGATAAGATTTTGAAAAGTAATTCTTAAGTTATGATGATGTTATAAAAGGTAGACTAATGCTTTAAGTAACTTTAAAAGCAATGTTTTTCTATCGATTTTGCCTTCGTATATAATTATCTTCTAATTCAAAAATGTAAACATCTGCTAGCAATATTGCGAACATTGGTTTATGTACGACAAAAACATTAATTATTTCTCTACGGTTTTATTAAAGTGTATTAAAAGTCGTTAGACTTCTACTTATACAGAGAATTTTTATTTTTAATTGATGCAGAGAGCGGCCGAATAAAATCGTAAAATTTACCATGAAAATAAACATCTGTTTTTTGCAATATTCTCGTGTGAAACATAATAAACATTACTGTAAACATGTAACGTACATGAACTGCTTTTTACAGTTTATTTTCTTCGTTTATCCTTAATACAGATTTCTCCGATTGAAGCAACGGGCATTTTTCATTTCTATTGTCATCGCCGTAACGTATGTTATCGGAATGGACATGACATTCGGGATTTTTTCGTGTAGACGATGACCTGACAAAATCCTCAATATCATATCAATTCCAGTCTAGCAGACGTCTGGTTTTATTGGGGGCAATATGAAATTTATATCTGCTAGTATTACTTTAACGGACGAAACGGGACTAAAAAGTAACGATGATGATTTCTCGATCTATATTCTTTTTTGCGTATACAAACTTGCTTCTCTTATTAACAAATATTTGAAAACACAGATAAGGGTGTAACACAGATAATGTGAGCTGATGAATAAAAAAAATTATAATTAGTTTTAACAAAAATACTACTCTAAACTTTGAGTTTTTACTGTTTAGCACCATTTTAATAACATTCTTACTCTTGTTTCACTTATCTTTACGGCCCTAACCATTTCATAAATAGTAACTACCCATCCGAAAATGTTGGCGGCTTTGTTTTTATTTAATTATTATAATATTTATTGTTTGATTAATTTATTTTATGTTAGCGCGTATTAGTAATCTCAAGCTTGTTAATTATTTTATACAAGTTTACTTTTTTTTATTTCTGATGCTCTGTGAATTACTGGCTGGTACTTCACTGAGCATTTATTTCGATTCGTTTTTTTTATATTCCAGCTATTCAATTTTTCTATTTTTTATAACTTATATAAATACACTATTAATTTTCTTATTGCCTCATAATGACCGCTCTAAATACTTGACGTTGAAAAATTTAAATGAATGGAAAGGAATAAAACATTTGTTTTTTATTCTATTTATATGGTTCCAATAATGTAAACTACTTCTACAGCTATATTTGTATTTAGTATTACGACGAAAATGTTATTACCGCTTTTAAAAAATCTATGGTTGAATAACACACACGTAGAATTCAATTAAAACAACCAAACTTATTCCGCCGCTCTCCAATTGCGCAACGTCCAGCAGTTCCTTGAATAATTTAATTGATATTTTAAATTATACTATTAACTAACTATACTAAAAATTTTGTGTGGCGAAATGACTCGTTATATTTAACTTTGAATGCACTCCATAAGACATAAACAATGTGTACTGATACATTTCTTTTAGTTTATGTTACGAGTGATTTTGGAAAAGTTAACTGCTTTGTTGCTTTATGACGTATGTTTTATCTAGTATGATTTCAGAGAGCCTGTCTTTACGAACTAATGCTGTTGGATTATAATATTTGAAAGGCAAGTATGTTTGTTATTGATTTAAGTGAATGAAATGTATACAATATTTTTTGTATTTTTTGTTATTTTCATGTTAAAGTTTTGTGTTACTATGGACACAACTTTCAAGTGTCTAGATGAAAGTTTTTGACGGCCAACCTGAGGTCAACGGAATACAGCCAATTAGCAGCACACAGTCTTGATTGTTGGCGGTAGCAATATGCCTTGTTACGCAATGTTCTGCCACCACAGCTACTTTGCCACTTGACGCGAGCGAATGTTTCCTGACTGACCCGTCTAAGGGACTTTCAAGAAGAGATCGTCCTCTACCTCAAAGGCCGGAAATTCCTCTTGAATCACACTATCTAGTAAAAAAACTGCAACAAGATCCGTTGCGTGGTTTTAAAGGTCTAAGCATACATAGGGACAGACAGACGGCGGAACGACTTTGTTTTATACTATGTAGTAATGAAGTCTGGGTCGTATCGTTAACCGGTGATGATTCGTCGCTTATTCGTCGACGACGAATAAATACAGCCGTAAAAGTTCACCCGCCGAAGTCGGACGCAGCCGTCGCAAATGAAACCTTAACGCGTCGCGATAGATTTCCTATGCGTAACTCAAATTTACCGCAGCGTCATGCTGAATTTTGAGTTTTGCAAAGCGTTCGTTGAAAGCTGAAACCTCTCGCTGAAAGTAGTGTATATACTTCATCCTCTCACATAAACAATACGTCCTACGTTTCTTTTTTATGTGAGTTGGCAAGCGAGTTGGCGGTTCACCTGGCGTTAACTTTGGACAATTGTAATACCCCTAAGATTTCAGATGCGTTACCGCCTTTTAGTGAATTGGTCCCGGTCATCTCACTCGCCAGACAAAATGCAGAAGTATAACAATTCGACTTCACGCCGGTCTTCTGTGAGGTCATGGTACTTCCCCAGAGGGACCTGCCGATTTGTTTAAATTTCGTTTAATCAAGTTTCCAGTTTATTCCTTTATGTAACTGAAATCTGATAGCGCCTAGTCCTTTTGTAACAGCAATTCGACGTCAAAGACTCAAAGTCACAAGTTGAGATTAAATAAATATTCCAACCACTTTATTCAGATGTATCTTAAACCAAAGTAAAGTAAAGACCACCAGCCTTTATATACCTCACTGCTGGGCAAAGGCCTCCCCTTCCATTTAAAAGTAGTAGGGCCACGCAACGGTGTTCACTGCTGCACGAATGAGCTCCGTCCGGGTAAGTACCATGACCTCACAGAAGACCAGCGTAAAGTAGAAGTGTTACACTTCTGCGTTTCTCCTGGTGACTAAGGTAGCCGGGGCCCACTTTATTCATAGATGGCAACACTTCTGTAACCCTACGGGTGTTTCAAGTGTCCATGGGCGGCGGTTATCACTTAACAGCAAGTGAACCGCCAGCTCGTTTGCCACTTTGTCACATAAAAAAAACACGAGCCTACTGCGGACTTCACATTTTTTTTGTTATTATTTCGCAAATATACCTGTTTCCTCAAGATGTTTTCCTATACCACTGATGACGTTAGCAGTTAAAGTTAACAATTAAATCGGTGCCGGCACCGGCTTTGCTGTACGCGTAATAAATGGCAAATCAATTAATGAACCCTAAATGAACAAGCCATGTTATTTCATAGATTGAGAGTAAAATAGAATGTCTTGAGCGACTCACGTGTTTACTGCTTGCTGCTGATGTTGTGTTATTAAGTTATTTTTTTTTTTTCATAGTAAAAACAAGTCCATTTTTTATTAAAGTAAAACAAAACCGTCTTCAAACATCTCGCTCTGTATTCATTTTATAGTTAATTTTATATCTCAGGAGCCCAGGATCCAATACCAATGAAATTATCACATGGGAAGCACCAGCTTTCAAATATAAAAAGAATCATCGAAATCGTTTCACTCAGTGGAAAGTTCCGAGGTAACAAACGTAAAAAAATGTAGTCCAATTGAGAACCTCCTCGCTTTTTGAAGGCGGTTGAAATACGAAGATTTGGCGGCAGAATTCCTTCTCGGTTATCCCCTTGGCAGGTTTAACTTTATGAACCAGTTAAAGATTGTGCTGTTTATGAGGTTAGAAGTAACACTTATATGGAATTTAGGAAAAATAATCACACAATATTTTTCCACTAGCGGGGACCAAACCCACACCCTATAGCGGCTCTGGAAGCGGGTGCACCACTCACTACACCAATCGGGTCGTTAATTCTAACATTAACTTCTTCCCAATAGTCTTAAATTAACTAAGAGACGGACTAAAAAAGCTTGAAATGATGTTGTGCCTACAAAATAGTTTCACTAATTAGCTTTTCTGTTTCAAAATTTAAACATCAGGATTTCTGTGTTATTTTTCCAGGTGATCCTAAAGTACTCCACGTAAGTTACCTTCCTGCTGCAGAAAGAACAAAAAATATGGCGAGAATGGGTGAGTTATTAATTCTTAAATGATTCAAATAAATAAACGTTCTTAATGGAGATCTGATCTCGATATTTTCTCAGTGAGATTTCATTACTGTCTCATTTTATAATAATGTGACAATAATTAATGACATTTTACTGACATGAAATTCTACCATATTACGAGACGTAAGATGGTTAGTGAATTAATTGACTCTGTGTACTCTTCAAAGTCAAGGTCCCAAGACTTTAACTGTTTCAAATTAGGTTTTAGAAATTTTTAGGTTTTGGCAAATTAGTGGTTAGAATGGACTCGTCAGAATTATTTATATTTTGTGCTACGTCTGATGAACGTGATGAGGCGTGTCAATCCTTAAACCTCAAGCAACGGAGTGGTGTATTAAAGGAAAGGTAAAAGTTACTCATCCGTGTCAACTGTGGCAGGGCAACTGTTGCACGAGTGGGCAGGTCCGACCAGGGAAGTACCACGGCCACTCAAAAGACCGGCGTGTAGTAAAAGTATATACTTTTGGGTTTCATGTGTTTTAATGGTTGTTACTGATCTGCAACCGGTCAGGTTTTGTACATGGGTGGCGGACTGGACTGGTGGTAATCACTCGGCCTCATGTGAATCTTCTACTCGCCAACTTTTTACTTACATAAATGTAGCTTTAGCTAGCTCGAGTGCGATTGCACCAAGCTCCAGCCACAATAGAGTCGCAGTGTTATATTGCTCCACGATACCGTTCTGGCACTATCGGCTCGTTCCACGTTGGTCTCCCGAAGTGGGGGAGGTGGTGTGAGGGGAGGGGGCTGCTTTACGCAATAGCAACATTTGGGTCGCGGCCAGGACAGAGTTGACCATGCAGCTCCACTCCGTTGTTTTTTTGTATTGAATTTATGTTGCACTAGCTTTTCCCCGCGGATCCTCTCCTCGCAGCCATTTTAGAAATGCAAGAGTTATTTTTTTTAGAAAATACAAACTCTCCCGTGTTCTGTAGCGTACAGACGTATCTCCCTTCGAATATTTTTTGAATACCTCTTTGCATTATTATTTTGACACATGACTACGCATTCATATTGTAATCCAATTAATATAATTAATGAACTCTCTTATCTCATTAACCTTATGAGCGGATAAGAAATAAATCTGAAACTAACTATACTATGTTATAAAGAGGAAAGATTTGATTGTTTGTATGTATTGAATAGGCTCCGAAATTACGAACCGATTTGAAAAATTCTTTCACTGTTGGGAAGCTACATTATCCCCGGTTGATATAGGCTATATTATATTTTCCAAAAAAATAGGGATCCTTACTAAAACTTCAATAATGTAACCCAAAGTGTACAAACATTACCTAAAATATTCTTTACATCGCGTGTGCTGCGGAAACTGTTGATGATAAAATAAAATAATGTACTACGAATTTGTAGAACACATCATTATGTACAAAAATGTCGAGACAGCGTATGTCTAACTATTATAGTTATGCCACAATAAGTGTTCTTTTATTTTAAAATTTTGATTGAAATGCCGCCGCTAGAAAAGGCTCTTTATTTGTATCTTGGTATTAATCCTTATAAAAATAAATTACTTTATATTTAAGACTGTTTCAATATCTTTATATAACTTTTTGAATTATTAAATTCGGACATTCCATTCGAAAGATATCACAAGTTTCAAAATGTTAGTATATTGTAATTTAACTATCCAAACAGCTTAGTGACTGACTTAGTAGTTCTTATAATTTTTCAATCTCATTTATACAGCTAATTCCTGTTCAATAGTTAGCAAATTATTAAATACAAAGGCAGTTTAATTTTTTTATCTTTTTAAAATGCCCAAAAGATCAAGATCTCTTCTTTCTAGAAAGAGTTCCCAGGCGAGGGCAACAAAAATACGTCGTAATGAGGAATCTTTACCGGAAAGTGTCAATCGTCTTACAAGTCGGAGAGAGTCAAGTAGAGCGGCTTGAAGACCAAAATAATATAAATTTACAAATTCACACTAGGGAATCGAGCTCTGAGCGTTCCCGACGCCCACGAGATTAGAAAGAAAGACAACAAACATCAACGACTAGAGTTCGTAATCGAGTTTTAGCTCACAGTAACAGATCAGCTTTCATGCATTATGCTCAACAGTGCTTCTGGAAAAGTTAGTCTCCCCAATATTGAATAGCCGCCACAACCAATAAAAAATCTTTTTACAAATAACCATTCACCATCTGGACATTATTAACCAACATCCGAAAGTGCAATAGCCTCTTTCAAATGACTTCGTTTGACGCGAACTTTTTAAAATGGACAAGTATACAAGTTATCATCATCCTCCTGCCCCTATCCCACTGAAGTGATAGTCTTCTTCAATTTCAAATTTAAATCTCCCTTCCCCTCCCCCACTCTAGAGACATTCCCGATGCTGAAAACACTAACATTTACATCCGTTAGCGTCTGTAACGTTCGCCTGTAACAACACATATATTTCCAGAAGCCTCACAGCGTGTAGTTATACTGTAGGTTTCCTCTTAAACGTTTTCAGAGATTTAAACTTAGGGATTCGAGCCAAACGCATAAAGCAGAGGTCAACGACATCTCGGGATTTATTTACACGTATTCGAACTGTAAAACGATTGGGATTTTCAATAATTATTATGTTAACAAACTCTCTTCTCTCTCTTACATAGCAATCTCGGTTATTTTTTTTTTATGTGATAAGTTGCGAAACGAGCAGACGGATCACCTGATGTTAAGTGAATACCGCCGCCCATAGACATCTGCTGACCCGAGGATTCCAGATGCGTTTACAACCTTTGAAAATTGGGTTCCGGCCACCTCACTCACCAGACGAAACGCGAAAGTATTATACTTCCACTTTACGCCGGTCTTCTGTGAGGTCGTGGTACTTACCCGGACGAGCCTGCCCATTCGTGCAACAGCCGAGGCTGCTGCGTGGCCCTACCACAGTAAAGTTATTAAGACTTACATTTAACTGTCCAATTGTGGTTGGGCCACGCAACTGTCTTCTCTATTGCACGAATGGACAGGTCCGGGTAAGTACCACGACCTCACAGAATTCCGGCATGGAAGTGTTACACTTGTGCGGTTCGTTTGGTGAGTGAGGTCGCCGGGGCCCACTTTATTGAAAGGTGGCAACGCATCTGCATCTACGGATGTTGAAAATGTCAATGGGTTATCACTTAACATCAGGTGAAACGCCAGCTCGTGTGCTACCTTAGCAGATAAAAAAAAAACAGAATAAGACTCATCTGCATTCTATATACCGAGAGGCTCATTAGAATCCGAAAAGTGGATGATTATTGATTATTCGTTGAGTTTTCACTTTCCGTAGATTCCTAACAAGTAAACTCGATTCAGTTAGAAAGACGTTGGTCTAATCAGTTGGCTGAAATGAAACCGAATGTTCGTACTGTGCTTTCATATTTGACTATCCCATTCCTCTAGATAGTATAAAAGTGTAAATTTTATACAAACATATTTCTATGATGTTATTTAAAACAGTCTTAAGCAATTTACGTTAAACCCTGTGAACATAAGTAACAGATACGTATAATTTTAATTACCAATGTTTGTGCTGATATCACGAGTGCAACGTTTTAAAGAGCCAAAAACTCGCTCTGCTATTAAATAGCATAGACAAAATCTCAGACGAAATAATGGACTAGTTCTTATATTTATTACTGACGGCTTTAGTTTGTTACATGTATTAAAAGACGGATAATGGCCTCTTCTGGCCAACAGGCCCAACGTTTTAAAACTGTCACAGTAAGGCGGGGGGCGTGTATTAGCGGAATCGTTGCAAATTTCCCGCCTTGCTCTAAAACGCTTGCGTCTATGCGGTGCTCGCCTGCGTCTGCAGCGATTGAAGCCGCTCGCAGTCGCGCCTCAACTTTGCAGTCACAATGGCCGATCTTCGCGTCGTGTCGTACATCAAAATTATGCCTCCCGGGCGGCAATAAAATTTTAAAGTTAAATTTTGTCGCGTCGCCTATCTGGAAACTGAGCGAAATGGCTTTTGTTGCTGCAGAAGATTTGTGGCTTCTTGTATTCATTGTGTATAAAAGGCGGATCGGACCGAATTGAACAGATTATTGTGTGGTCTAAATTTAAACTGGTTCTACCATAAAATATTCCTACATTGGAATAAACTAGACATAAATCAGAGCGGAAAGAACGTATTTATTTAAACGAATTTGATTGCAAATTGAACCCGACATCAAAGGTTGTATTTTCAATACCAGTGATGTGAAACAAAGACTAACTTCTAGATAGTCTAAGATTGTGTTGTTACTATGGGTTTTCGCGACTTTCATTTGATCTGTGGTTTACGGAATAATCTCCGAGTTGGTATATCGATAGTCGAATTAGCATCAACATTATTATTTATTACCTGATTATGTTGTTGTTTTTAGCATGCAGAACAACGATTACATTTTAGAAACTGAGCACTTCTGTGGAATACATAACACGTCTTTTTCTTTTTTTTTATTTAGAACTGGCCAGCACTTGACTGCCATCCCACCTGATGGTAAGTGGCGATGCAGCCTTTGATGGTAAGCGCGCTAGCTCACGTCTGTATTTTTAGCTGACGATGTGCAAATGTGGAATCCGTTGTTCCATCACTAGGCATACACTCAAACTGCTTTTGGGTCTCGTAAATCTCTCCTCTACTAGTCTCTCTGTTATCTTCCCCCTGATCCTCATACTGTGTGACATAAGCTATATTCTCCTGTATCTATTGCAGTTCGTTAGATCCCCTTGCTCCCTTACCCTTGCTTTTATTAATAGACACAAGCCTATTGCACAAATCGTTTGGGATATCAGCACTCTGCAATAATTCATTGTAAAACAAAGTGAGTCACTTTAATATGTCAGCTTTCAAATATTTTAATGCTTCACCAGGTATACCATCTGGCCTGTCGGTCTTTCCATTCTCTAAACCTTTCATTGACTATTTCACTCCATACTCATCTGACGCACTGTCGCCGTATTTTCCGTTATACTTACTATCATTCCCGTTCAATCACTTTCTTTATTCATCAATCTAACTTTTTCATTCACTAATATATTGAGATTTTCGTTGGTGTGGCAATCAGCCCTTTAGCTTAGTGGTTAAAGCCTCAGGTCGCGAATCCCAAAGACGGCGGTTCGATTCCCATAGCGGTGAAAAACTTTTCATACTTTTTTTACACATTTTAATCGATTACCTTTGTTTTATACGTTAGCTATTTGCAATTTCTGTATTCATTTTCAATTGTAATAAAGTTCAAGTGACTCGAAGGCGGCACTAAACTCATCTGTATCGGAGGCGTGAACAATTGTAAACAGTAATAACTTACCATTACAATTGTAGATTTAATTATGCCAATAGTCTATACTTATAAACAACGCAATTAACACATTCTTTAATAAGATTTATTATCACATTAAAATACGCATTAAGTCGTTCAACATATCAGGACGTTAAAAATATGTCTGTATCGGCTTACTGTAGCTCATTGTCTGGGCGCTTGCTTTTATTCAATATACCCGAGTATCACGAGTTCGATTCCCGGCACCAATGAAATTGTTACTTTTAAGCGCTGACTTATCACGTGCTCAGCGGTGGAGGAAAACGTCGTGAGGAAACCTACACGTTTAAAATGTTTCGAAGATATGTGAAGTCCGCCAATCTGCATTGGGGTCCGTACCTACCCTCTGTACAGAGGAGATTTTTCCCCAGCAGTGGGCCACGTATTGGCTGTTACTTTTACGTTTGAGAGTAACTAAACGAAAAATAAAAAAAATAATATAATTATGTCAGGATGGTAAAGAAAAGTAAAGTAAAAGTAGTATTAGACCATTGCGACCCCACTGATGTGTTTTTTTTTTTTTCTTTTAAAAACTGCCCTTACTTTAGATAACATAATCCTGTGTTGTAAGGACGTTTAACAAACATAAATTTCACGCGGACAAACACCCAGATTCGGAACATTTATATGTGGGTCACACAAATAGTTGTCCCGTGTGGGAATCGAACCCACGACCCTCGACGCCGAAGCCAATACTTGCCAACTACGCCACGGAGTCATCGGATTGGCGAATGGAAAACGTTTCTTAAACGTAATTTATGTATTTCATTGGTGCAGTGATGACCCGATTAGCATAATGGATAGTTCAGCCGCCTCTTGCCAAAGAGTGTGGGTTCGATCCCCACTACTGGAAAAATATTGTGTCATGAACATGTGTTCTTCCAATGTCTGGGTGTTTATATATTTATAATATGTATTTATTTATAAAAGAAAAGTATATTTATATAGTTTATTAATGTTTATTAGTAATCTAGTACCCATATAGAAGATTGTGTACCAATGTGTCCTAAATATTTATTATTGTGCCTGTTATTTTAATTTACAACTAGATTTCCTATCATTTTTAACTGCCTCTATTTTTAGACCATCGTTGCCTAAGCAATCAAAGATATTTTCTCCTTTATTTCAGGGTTGGGAGAGCTTTCTTCTAAAACTGGGGCAGAGCAGCTGGAAAAACAATATTTGTACAAACAATCGTTAAACAGCGACGGTCTATGGCTCCGGACGATGACCAGTGGCCTGAAGATCTGCAGGTTCAGATTCAAGCGGCGGCACCAGTTTCAAACAAATAAATTAATGAGTTAAGACGCATTTTGAAACAACGCTATTCAAAGTAATCAGAGATGTACTGTGGGTAACTGATAAACATACTAAAATATGCTTTTCCGGACACTAGAATAGCAGTATGCTCATCGCACACTACTTTTCCAGTATGGGGAATCGAACCCATACCTTTCGAGACAGGTTCACTATCCAACACGCCATTTTGATTGTCGCTTTGTTCGGGGTTAACCTACCTGATAGTAGGTTAACCCCGAACAAAGCGACTGCAAGCCTGCGAAAAAATACTGCAATATGCAAGGTAGGTATATAAGTTTTTAATTGTAATTATTACCTTTTACATTTCGTTATTTAATTTTTTTTTATATATCAGGCCTTCACTGAATGTTTTGTTATAGTTATATTATTGCGAAATAATTGTTTAACTTTGTGTGAGCCTATAAATTTCTATAACAAAATGTTATTGCTTACTAGGATAATGAATGCAGTTCACAAGTTCACTTACATTGAATTACTTTATCTTCTCAATTATCTAATAAACATAATATGTTAATGAATAATATATAACACAGTTCAAAAGTGCAATAACGAGATGCGATAAAGCTCCTCAGATGTGTTTGAACCAACAATTATTCTGGAATGTTCATCAATTCGTAGAAAAATTTAGAGATAAGATGATGATGCTTTTCGTAAATCCTTTAATGAAAATTAAAAACAAATATTACTGATTTGTGCTTCGTTTTTCTTGTCATAATTTTTAACCGTGTCATTCGTTAAGCTGAGAACTACGAATTCTTAAATAAATAAAAGTCAAATCAATGTATGTAATTATAATGTAAGGTAGGTCATGTATATTTACATACTTTGTTTCGTAAAGAATTTACTATGTGTCTAAGTGTGGCTAAGTGGCAAACTATGAAAGTGACATTTTATGCAACAGTGTCCAGCTCTAACTGTACCAAATATTTGAGCCAATATTTATAGCCTGTGTCTATATTTTCATTGGCGTTTGTAATTTAAAATAAATAAAAGTTTCCACAAATATATAGCCTTTTAAAACTAATCTTATGTATCTGCCAAAATATTTCTACTTCATTTTATGGTATTGACGTAAGTCGTCTTGACTCCCTCAAAAGTATAATTGATAATTATATCTCTATTCGTTCTAATTTTGAAAAGACCAACATCGAACCCGTGACCTGTAAAATCCATGTCAACTTCACCGGATTCTGAATGTATTGCTCAAATGATAGACTATAATATGAACATATATATGCTATATATATTTATTATAGATATTAAATATTAAGGCAAAGTTTAAAAGTTTTTATTATGTAGAGTTGATTTTTGAATATTAAGGCAAAGTTTAAAAGTTTTTTTAGCATTATGTAACGTATCTCTCCACGCCCCGGGTGCATTTTTTTAAGAATAAAGCATATTAAATTAAATATAGTGTTTCAACTGACTTTTTTTTGACTGTATTTTTTTTTTTGTTTACCTACTTTCGACTGAGTGATCTCTCTTCCCGTGCGGTACCATATTAATTTCATTGGTATTGGATTTTGGGCTCCGGAGATGCTTAGGGAACACCTGAAAATCAATTGAAAAATGAATACATAGCGAGTCGGTTTTGTTTTTCGTTATTAAAACAAGTCTATTTTTTTACATGCCCTTTGTAATGACTTTTTTTTGAAGGTTTTGTGAAGTAAAGAAATAAGTCCCCGACATAAACGTTAAACTGATAATCTTTAACCAATAAACATATTCGCGTTTATAAATGCATCTTAACATCGCCGGTTCAACATTCAGAAGTAAACGGAGAGTGCATCAGCCCCACGATCGTTATAGCTTCGCAAACATTACTATGATTGTGCATTATAAATGGCACCCCCACAGGCGTCCGACCTCCTATCGAAGGGGCTTCGATAGAGCGGCCAACGCTCCCTGTATCAGCTTCGTAATGAGGGTCAAACTTCAAACGTTATATATTACGTAATTAAGTAGAGGGACAGATATGTTTCATGGTAAAAAAGCAAAGGTCCACAGGTCTCCGACTGTGTTAGTACCACGCGACAGTTTCGGCTGTTGCACAAGTGGGCAGGTCCTTCCGGGTAACACGATCTCACACAGAAGAACGGTTATACTCCTCCGTTTCGTCTATTGAGTTTGGTAGACGAGGCCGATTTTGTCAAGTTGGCAACATATAAGCGACACTACGGTGTTGCAAATGTCCATGGGCGGCGGCTACCACTTAAGATCAGGTGAACCGCCAGCTCACTTGCCACCTTCGCACATAAAAATGCCTCGAGAGTGTACCAGTGAATTGCCTATTACCCTTGCTGTAATGAACAACGATCACTGGTTTCGAGTGGGTGGAATGTCAAAATGGCGGAGCTGTGCTGGGCATCATGACAGCTAGAAGTTCGTCACTACACCACGATTGACAGGGGTGGAAGAATCGATGTAATTATTTAATTTAGTTTTCGTAGTATTTTCGTCTTCACCATCGTTTCGGCGGCGGTTAACCTGAGATTCCGTTGTCTTTGATTTGCGCAAAAATTTTGTCTGACTGCACACTTAAGTTATTCTTCTTTGATAAAATACGTAATGTTATTAAAACTATAAAACAAAAGATCTGTGAAATTATAGAATATGTCGATTGGTATGTCCTTAACTTACAAAGTGTAAGCTTAGTAGAGTTAAAAACTAAATAAGTTTCATTTTTTTTAGAAATGGCAATGTCCTTACTGTAGGGTAACAATATCATGTGTTCTTAAAGCATTTTACAAACATAAATTTTACGCGGACAAACACTCAGATCCGAAACAACTATCTGTGGGTCACACAAATAGTTGTCCCGTGTGGGAATCGAACCCACGACCCCCGGCGCCGAGACCAATACCTTGACAACTGTGCCACGGAGTCATCAACTAATAGGTAATGTCGTCCGTTTTAAAATCGAGAAAGTTGATAAAACGTCGCATAACATGTTATCTCCATTCCTAAATTCATTTGATTCCGTTCAGCCGTTGCGGAGTAAAGACCCCGCTGGTAAAGCCAACATTTTATGACTTTACTATTCCAGTGCAAATTATAATAACAAAAATACCTTTTAATATACCGTTATTTGGCTGTGGTTATCTTGTGTTGATTTGTGGGTGTTACAATGCCAGAAGTAAAACCTTATTATCGGGGGATATTTACTTGTTCCCCCGTCTGGCCATGTCCATAAATAAAAATAAACATAAAGATATATATATTTTATATAACACATACATAAATAGGACCCAACCAGACGGAAGCCCTCGGCAGGGGAGACCAAACGGCCGAGCGTTAGGGTGAAAGGGAGAGAAGCCGGTAAATTAACAAATAAATGCAGTAAAATATTATTATCATTTACATCATTTTCGATGTTGTAAACAAAGACTGCCAAGGTATACCTCCTATGCTGAGCCCTGCGCCCTATCAGAGCAAGTGTCAACGAAGCGAGCAAACGACAGATATCAACACACTGCACACTGCACAGCCGAGGTCAAAGGGCGCTGATAGCATGAGAAGGTAAACGGTTCAGTGCAGATGCACCTACTCATCAGGGTAGCTGGTTACCGACCCTTGGACATCCAAGCTGACGCAGACGTCAAGTATTTCGGCCGTATTGGCTTTTCATACTGCTTTTCCATTTTTGGCTTTCACGCGAACACATTTTGTTTTGTTTATGTGTAACGTTGTTAAAGGTACTCGAGTGGCAGCCTCGAACTGGCCAGCGTAGTGTGGGACGACCCCCCCACTAGATGGAGTGACGACCTGTGCAAATGTGCAGGTGATGCAGGTGGCTCAGGATCGTGCTTCGTGGCAGTATGTGGGGGAGCAGTGGACTCAAACAGGCTGAAATGATGATGATGATGATAGTTACTGAGCGAGCAGGCGGTTCACCTGATGTTAAATGAATACCTACGACACCCGATGGCTTGCTGATGCGTTGACAACCTTTAAAACGGTGTTTACCTCACTCACTAGACGAACCGCGAAAGTTTGTATGTCATAGTACACCACACGACCCCACTGCGGATTGGTTCACATATCTCCGAAAAATTTTTTTTGTTAATATTTCGTAAATATAACGGCGGGCGAATATAAAAAAACTTTGCCAATAACATTCATGTTTAATGTTATTGGCAAAGTAAACATTAACGTAACATGTAACGCCGACCCCACCCAGGTGGGATAAAGGCGAGAAAGAGGAGAAGAAAATTCTCGATCATGACCTCTCCTTGAAATGTTGTTAAAAATTTCCTAAAACAAATGCCGTTGTACCAATTTGTGATAATACTTTTAAAAACTTTAAGAGTTGTAAAATTGATACGATCTTTACAATGAAACAATTGTGATTTTAACGACATCATTGGTAATAAAATGTGTTTATTTTTAATTACAGACTTAAGCTGCTGTTCGTCGCCAGACCGCTGATTCTGAGACTAATTTATGTCCCCAATAAAATTTACCGGGCAAAATGACATCTCAAGCTTACTCAAATATAAATCTTTTTTTTTTCTTTTTATGTGAAAAGTTGCCAAGGAAGCAGGCGGTTCACCTGGTGTTAAGTAAATACCGACAGACAGATAGGTAGTGGGGTAGGCACGCAGCAGCCTCGGCTGTTGCACGAATGGGCAGGCCCGTCCGGGTAAGTACCACGACCTCACAGAAGACCAACGTAAAGTGGAATTATGACAAATACTTTCGCGTTTCGTGTGATGAGTGAGGTAGCCGGAGCCCAATTTTCAAAAGATTGACAACGCATCTGGAACAGTGGGTATAGCAGACGTCCATGGGTGCCGGTATTCTCTTAACATCAGGTGAACCGTCTGCTCGCTTGGCAACGTTTCACATAAAAAAAAAACAATTCCATGGGCGGCGGTATTCACTTACCATTAGGTGAACCGTATGCTCGCTTGGAAACTTTTCACATGAAAAAAAAAACATAGTGTGTAAAAAAATCGGTCAAGTGTACCCACTATACCATA